GTGGCATCAATAGGTGTAACCCAGTAGCCTGGGCTCCTATGGTTACAACTAGATCAAATAGAAGCATTTAAATCTAAAATGTAGCAGCACATTGGAAACATCTAATCAATAGTGTGCTGTCAAACAAAATGTAAATTATGTTGTGATATACAAAGCAAATCAAGAAAAATAAAGTACAAATCTATGTCCTATCAAGTTACATTCTGTGGAAGAACCCGGATATATATTCCACAGATGAAAGGCCAACATAATTCATATAAGAAGCAGTTGAGGGAGCTGGGTTGTTTATCATGGAGAAAAGGAGACTCAGGGGTGACCTTATCACTCTTTACAACTGACTGAAAGGAGGCTGTGGCCAGGTGGGGGTTGGTCTCTTTCCCCAGGCAAGTGACAGGACAAGAAGAAACAGTCTCAAGCTGCTCAAGCTGTTGTTCAAATTAGACCTTAGGAAGAATTTCTTCACTGAAAGGGCTGTAGAATGGACTGCCCAGGGAGCGGGTGTTGCCACCATCCCTGGAAGTGTTCAAGAAATGACTGGACATGGCACTTGGCGCTATAGTTTAGCTGACAAGGTGGTGTTCAGTCAAAGGTGAGACATGAGGGTTTTGGAGGTCTTTTCCAGCCTCAGTGATTCTATGATTCTCTGATTTCTCTGAGGATCCTGTGGAAGGAACTCATAGGATCTCTCTTTAAAATTACATTTACATGCATATACCTACTACGTTAAAAAAAAAAATTATTGAGAACACTGCATACTACTACTCCTAGTTCAACTGAAATAAATAATTTTAGATAACTTAAGTCTTTTGCAATAAGGATTTTTCCTGAGATTTTTACTTTCTCTAATTAAAACCTGAAGGATTTTGGTTTATTAAACTTTGGCAAAAATGTTCAACATTTGCAACATGTGGAACACATTATCCTAATTTTGAAAGGAACTTAGAGCATGTAGGGGTTCCACTAGGACCATTGCCAGCAAGTCAAGTGAGGTGATCCCTATCCTCTAATCAGCCCACATTTGGAGTGCTGGGTCCAGTCCAGGGTTCTTCTATATGAAAGAGACATACAAGGACAAGTCCAACAAAATTTTATGGGACAGGAGCATCTCTCCTGTGAGGAAAAGCTGAGAAAGCTGGGATTGTTTAGTGTGGAGAAAAGAAGGCTCTGGGAGGTCTCATCAATGTGCACAAGGATCTGAAGGAAAGGTGTAAAGAAGAGGGAGCCAGGCTCTTTTCAGTGCTGCCCAATGACAAGCAGTGGGCACAAACTGAAACATAGGAGGCTCCGTCTGAACACAGGAAATGCTTTTCACTCAGAGGGCTAGAACACTAGAGGTGATTGCATTAGAAAAAAACCTGAAAGAACAAGTGAAACACCAAATAGGATGGGGCAGAGGATGGACAAGTAGCTGCGAATTAAAGCATTAAATATGTAGGGTGAGAAGATAACATCAAGAAAGAAGGAAAGAGAAAGCTGAGCATTAGGAGGAAAGAAATAGCAAGCTGCCAGCAGCCTCAGGACACAGAAGTTACTTGGTGGTTATGAGCAGAGGAAAGTCTCTGGGAAGCCCAGCAAAGGGAAGTGACACACTGGCTCCCCGATGAAAGGAAAGGAAAGGGCGAGGCAGGCAGGACAGAGGATCTCAAACTGCTCCTGGTCATTTTTATAAGATCAAAGAATGGCTGTGTGCTGGGAGGACCAGAAAGCCTTTGATGTAATGGTAGTTTTGGCAAGACACTACAGAATCAAAGCAAGAGGAAAAGAAAGTATTAACCCTTCCATTCAGTATTTCCTCAACATTCATACAAGCAAAGTACGAAAATCATGAAATAATCTCAAGAGATAACAGCAAGATTTGCTTATTGATGGAATACACACGAGAGAGAGACAGAGAGGGAGAACAAGCACATAAAAATGGATGGTGTCAGGCAGTCACATAATCCCTCTACAAAATGTATTTGGTATTCTTATCCTTCCAATTCTTCTTTTAAATTGGATGATAAACCATAAAACTGATGCAAATTTGAGCCTGCTACTACAGGAGAATAATCTAATAACTTTTATTTGCTGAGTGGAAATAAATTCTGCAGAAAGAAATTTGTTTTACTGGTATTCAAAACCTTACTTTCTTGAACATAAAAATGCATTACAACAAAATGCATAAATGTTCATACTGAACCAAAAATTCATATTAAATTAAAATTTTGAAGAATACTTACAGCATTGCTGGCTTAACCTAGATTTATGGACATTGTAACAAAAAGCTGAATTGTGTCCAGAAAAGTCTGATCCAAGTATTCTAAGAAAGTGGGAACCTCATTCTGAGTTCTCTACTGAAAGCAACAAGCTGTTTGATTGATCAAAGTATATAGAATGCATATGTTCACTGGAATAACTTCAGGATGTGGTTGATTTAAAATTAATTTTTGCAGTCTTGTACGTCAGATTAGTACTAGGAAAGCAGAGGAACATAACTTGCAGCTTATGCTCACAAAGAACAGTATATACTCTCTAGAAATCCACTAAAATCCCAAGCACAGCATAGTAGCAGTGTACACCTAAAAAATGCATCCTGACATCTTTATGAGTAATAAATACTTTCCTTTGTGGCCTTATCTGAGAATACAATGCAGATTTTTTTTCCCAAAAAATCATACACCTTTCTCTATAAATAATACAGAGCCAAATCTTGTATGTAACAATTAAAGTATACTTAGGAATAAAATAACTCATTTAATTGAAAGATAAATCATATTAATTCTCTCAAGATGTCAGACTAAATTATTGATGACTAAAGTCACTTGGATATTTACTTGTTAATAGCTACGAAATAATTGAATTCACTTTAATTAACAGCATTAAACCAAATAAAAAAGCCAAAAACCCACAATCTCTAGATACTCAAAACCTCAGTTTTGCCTATGCTTGTTGCTCCTCTGGCACTTCTCAAGAGTTGAAGGGTTATTCCAGAAAACATCTAGGTTCTTCAGCTCCTTTTATATCCACCAGAGAGTCTAACAAACCTTGCTCTTCCTTACCTGCCAGCTTCTGCTCCTGACCTGCACAACGTGCTGGAGCAACAAGTGGCATACATATCTATTGAATCATACAGCAAAATAGACCTGATTGAAAAAAAGAACCAAAATATCCAAAAGCTTCTTCTAAATGGGTACTATTTGTTCTCAGGCTCCTGAAGGGAGTGATCAGATCATGTGCAATATCTTGAAGGAGGTTCATGATAACTGCACTTTCCTCTAGAAACAGGAGCTGGCTAAGGAAATAGAAGATCCAAGAAACTGCCTGGTACTGTAGACAGGAGATGGAGCGTCAAGCTCAAACACAACTGCTGAGAGGAGAAGGAGCTGACAGGGCTCAGAGAGAGGCAGGGGACCTCCTTGTTTGCTGCAACCCACAAATTCACTGAGTTAGATTAAGCTATCCTGGAAGGTTAATTCACCCAGAGCTCTGAATGGAATCTGAAACGTTCATTATACATATATTTCCCAAATTTTTTTTTTTCATTATCTAAGTTGGCAAGTTCATCTCATGGCCACTACAACAATTTTACTGGCAACTGAAGGAGGTAGAAGTGAGTAGATTGTAGAGAAAGGGAGAACAGTGGGATACTAGGATAAATAGGTCATCCTTTTCTTCTATCCAAACAACTTACAAATCTTCCTTTCTAAAATTGGAGACATTGGAAGTATAAAAAGAAGAAAAGCTCCAGAAAAAAATACAAAGAAACATTTGTCACAAAATATGGACTGAATTTGCATTACATTGGTGGATTTGCAAGCAACTGTCCTCTGCCTGTGTCAAAATAGCTCTGGGAGCAGAAAGGACAGGGAATTTGCAGGCAGTTTAACTCACGGTTTGTGAGAAATGGATGTCAATGGATACATGCCTGGCTGGTTTCCATGTAAGCAAACGATGAATAAGAGAAGGTCCTGAACAGAATTAATGTCCTGTCACAGCACCATGTGAAGTGTTAGGACACTGAATGCCAGCATTAGCTACCTGCTTCCACAAGGCAGGTGCTGTAGCACAGCACTCTGATTTCCAAAGGGCCTTTCATGACTGAATGAAAGATTTTTTGAACAGATTGAATAAATTTAAAATATATATTTGAAATCAGAAACTGTTTTTACAGATGCAGAGACTATCAGAAAGAATAAAGTAATAAAGTAATAATTTGCACAAATAAATTTGAGAAGTTTATACTTGCAGCTTTGATATTGTCTCAGTAGTGATTTCTTTAGATGAAATTTTCTGGATTTCTCATGAAAAGAAACTATGGGCCTGATACATACAATTTGTGATATCTTATTTGGCATTCCTACATGAAGGGAAAGAAGAATGGTTCCAAAATTATAGGGCAAGTTGAAACTCCTTCCAGCTATTCCACCTGATGGACTTACTACCTTGGGACATCTGGAAAATGCAGATGTCCCAAGGTAGTAAGTCCATCATGGCATGTACTGTCATAAAGTTTTGTTCTCCCAACTTAATGTCATATTAAATTAGCGGTTAAAATTACATTCCTTTACTCTCTTAGTTGCAGTGTTGATATGGGCAGATGAACTGATTCTGTCCTGCACCTCCCTGACCAAACAAGTAAGCAGAGAGAGTAGCCACTGAAATAATTACATCTATCACATGGACCCCAACCATTAGAGGTGTTAGAAAAATAACATCTTTTGTATGGATAAAATCTACAACATTTCTCTTCCCAGGGATAGGATGAGGACTGAACTATATAGAAAAATGACAACACTGAAATACACAGTATTTCATATAATGAGTACATAAGTACTGTAGTAAAAATCTACACAGAGAGCTGCAGTGCAAAATTTTCACATCTTCTCTTAAAAGTAAAATGACAGTTAAAAATCCAGAACTACAAGCTTATTAAAAAAATCTATAAAAAATATTTTCATAATTCAGACAAATTATCAGCAATGTAATTGGGATAGGTTTGGAAATTAATTTAAGAAACTTACCATTTCTAAGGCCATAATACGTTCCTAAAAGCAAAATACAAGATGCCATTAGAAATCGAAGAATATAAACACAGTGTAAGTCAAAGAATGACGAATAGGATTCCTTTTGGGGTTTTGGTGGTCTCATACATACAGTTTTTTGTAAAAAACTCACTGAGTAGGAACTGTTGTACTTCACTGGATGTCTTTATCATACTATTCCACTTAGAAATTTGCCTCAGAAATAAGAAACCACCCAGAAACAAGGTGAGAAAGGATTTGACAAAAATTATTCCACAATATATTTTTTCAATTAGTGCATTGGGTTTTCAGTACTGGTGATTTCACTCTTTCATATCCCAAAAAATGATTTCTTTTTTTGATCTTCTCTGACTGTAAATCTAGCATGATTTGGAATTCACATCATCTTAGCACCAGGCTTAGTTTTCTTTTACGCATTTCCTCAGAAAACTAAAAAGTAAATTCTATATTATTATTCTTTCATCCAGAAATAGCTCTGAATAATGTTTTATTAATAACAGGATGACATTAGTCAAACAAATAAAACAAACTTGTGTCAGTTTTAATCCAGCACAAAATACAGAGTACCCAGAATTAACTAGTTTCCTGTATAGATTTCAACATTCTTTTCCATTGTGAAGTATTTTTGAGAAAAGCATGAAGTTAGTAAAATCAAGATAGTGTACTCTGGTACGATATACTGACTAAGTATAGTATTTTAAGTTATTTGACAAAACACATATTCAAGTGTTTAGGTGAGTCCACATTTAGAGTACGTGACCATTAAGACATTACAGGAACTCTTACTTTACTCAAATATTACTCTATTTTTTCTCAGGCAAGGTAGTTTAACACCTGCTAAAATCTTTATTCTTCCTTAGAAGCAGATCTGAGATACAGATTATTTCCATGCATCAGAACAAACTTATGACAAGAAGTATTATATTGAAAATTCAGAAATTTTTATTCTGAGATGTTTGTTTCTCCACAAAATTGCAGTGGCAATGACTCACATTTATTTAAAGATTCTGCAACAAAGTACATACTCATTACGATAAAAAAGATGGTATTTACATGTTCTCATAAATTTCTGGTGATAATGAACATCAATTCAAATAATTTTTTCCATTTAAAGAAGACTACTTTGAAAAAAAGGTCTTAGAGTGAGGATGTTTCCAATAATAGAATAAAGAGTGTTTTCAAAATGACTCATGCGTTAAATAAAGTGCATGATATAGTTGCCAAATTCTAAAAGTATAATAAACTCTTACAATCTCAGCAGATAATTTTCTGGACTAGCATCTAATGTATTAGGAAATTTACCATGGATAATTTATACACCACTTGACTGTGAAAGCATGGATAGCTGAAGGGAGAAAAAACTGCTATCAAGCATTTGAATATGAAAGAATAGCAGCCAGAGCACTACAATTCACACACTTAACCAGAACTGCTAGCTAGGGAAAGGAATAAAGCAATTTAATCAGGAACATGACAGACAGGCAGGCACATATAGCCATGCAAGACACTACTATGATGCAACTTCCTGCAGTCTAAAATTACTCCTCATTCAATCAGAAGTAATATCATTAGAACAATTTGTCAACCATGAAACTTCACATGAAAGCAGATGCCGAATTGCTTCACATGAAAGGAGATCTTTTTACATTGATGTAACCAGATATGCACCTGTGTAAACTGCTTACGCAGACAAGCTCTCAGCCTTGTTGAACTTGATCTGCCAGAAAGCCAGGCCAAGATTTTTGTTTGAACAGGAAACAGCTGGATTGGCGTGTTGTGCAACTTTTCGGTCTTGCAACTTGTCTCTTCTTACTGGATCAAACAGTTTGTACACTAACTTCTTTGATACCTCTAGCCCTCAAAATGCCTTCTATTTATTACATGAGAAGAGAAGGCTTATCTTCAAACAAACTCCTATGGTCAAAACTCAGGTCAATACATAATGTCATATTCCTTATGAGCCTTATCTTCATCAATTCCCTCACAGATGTCCTGCTTTCAGTACACTTACAGAATGCTGACTCATTGATACTCTTCACATTGCATGTAAACTTTTTTTTTGTTCATACTGGGTATTGTTTGCAGCAATTTGTTGTTAAAAATTACTTTTTTTCTTTCTGTATTCTGAATACACGTTACCCTCCCTCACAGGCTCCTGAGCCTCACAATTCAGACATTCCAGCCTGTTTTTCCTTTCTTAGCCATTTCAAATTGAAAGGAGTATGTTTTCTTTGACTGCAATGCTTAAATACTATTCCAAAGCTGAGCTTAGGGTAAATCTGAGTTTTTAAGCATGAATTTAAAGTGTTTAGCACAAACAACTTTACTGCTACATGACATACAATAAGGATTTACAATATCGTATCGGGTCCTAGCAAATAGTGACTGGGCCATTCTTCCTCAGAAAGGTGGCTATGAACATTTAGTGCTTCAGAGGCTTTAAATACGTACTTGGAATACTTTACTTTCAGTTTTATTCTGTTTTACAAAAGAAAGTAACACAACCCAGAGAATTAACCCCAACCAGTGAAAAAACTCAGCAGTGAGCGTTACTAGCTATTGGCTCTGTATTTGTCTGCATATGTTTCCAAATCCGAATTTAAGCTATAAGGCAGTTCAGAAGAACATAATGGTCTAATATAATCTGGTAGTTTAAAGAAATTTAACAAAAAATGTAGCTAGTTAATTGAGCAAAAAATATACCTGGAGAGCTCCCATTTCTTCTTCTCTTCTGTGTGTCTTCTCTAGTAGCTCTGCAAAATGAAAAATGGAACTTGGAAATTCAGCTTCCTGTCTCATAGCCTGTCTCATAACAGTCATCGAGTTTTTTATTTTACAGATTTCACAACACCCCTTTTCAGCTGATTAAATAATAGATGAAATGTGTCAGTGATATGATTGTTTCCAAGCATGGGCTGCTGAAGTGACTAAAAAACAGCCTCAAGAACACAGAATGACAGTTTGACTGGCAGAAAAATAACTAAGATTCACAGATAAGCTTTTCTGTACTGAAATAAATCTTCTGGTACATTTTTAGAATTAACTGAAAAAAAATCAAAGAGATTCTGTCTAAAAATTAACTAAAACTGTCAAAACAATGTAATTATATATGAAAACTTACTGTAGAATACTGCAGACTATTTTGACTGGCAATAATTACCTCCTCTCACTAAAATGGAACAATTTTGTTAAGGAAAATAATTCACTGTGACAAAATATTAGAAAAGTTTCTTGCAGTCTTTACAAGATAAAATCCTAATATCTTGTATTGTCATGTGTGACAATTATAGACATTGCCACATATATGCACATATGTAACATTTCACATTAGAAATTAATTCTCTTGGAATTCTGCGGCTTATGTCATGAGTTGCTTTTCCCTTCATTCACATAGTTTTATGATTAAAATAATGTTTTTGATAAATTGTAACATATTTAGAATTCCAGCACCTTAAAGTTATAACCTCATAAAGAGCAGGAAAACCAAAAAAACATGCTGCAGGCTTATGGTTATTTCAACTATCAGAAGTTCACTCATGAGTTTCGCATGAGAAGAGCATTGCTTTATCTAAGCCAGAGACTGACTTTGAATTCAGATATGCCCCAGTTTGCTAGCAATCAGGAGAGTTATGAGATCATGAAACTGCCTTGACAACATCAGAGGACTGAATTCTGACTGTCAATTCCCTCAGCATCCTAGTACAGAACAGCTAACTGAAAGTACTTGTGCTTGCCTCCATAACTAATAAACTTTACAGACAGACTTACACAGTCATAAAGATAAGCTTCAATGACTTACAACAGCAACTACATAAAATATTCTACTGACATTAGTCATCTTCCCTTTATATTTCTGATCTTTTCTCCTTCTCTTGTTATGAAACCTCCCTGTGAGCACCCCAAACCACTTTTTTCATAGTTTATTATTAATTTCTGATTGCATGTGGATTGAGACTTCTTTCCAAGCACCAGTTCTTTAAGCGATGTAGATGCCATGTAAAAAATTTTAGTTAGTTCTTTCACAAGCTGAGAAATCGACTTGCTATTATTTCTTCTTAGCTTCTATGCCACTTTTTCCAAATCCTTTTTAAAATCAGTAAAATTACCATTTCTTCACTTTGTTTTGGTGCATCTATGTTTTTCTGGATTGTTCTTTGGTATGCTTTTTCAGTCCAGTGATCCAACTGCCACATAAATTACTGTAGCCAAATGTACTGCCATCAACATTAGTACAAGAATTTTGGATTGAAAAGTAGCAGTTTTCTTTGGGTATATTCCAGTATTATATGTAAGTTGATAAAAATTTGTATTGTAACACAAGCGTTAAAAAAATTAGGAGCAAGGAATAAGTTTATGAGAAAAGGGAGGGAAATAAAAAATTCATCCCCATGTCCCATCTGACCAAAACCTCACAATTATTATACTTGACTTTGCCTTCTTTTCATTCTAATGCAGTAATTAAGATTCCACTGTATAGACAGGATTGTTCTAAGTGAAAAGGTTGCTATTACAAGGTTCCTTTCAAACATCTTCTACAAATGTAAAATAAGTTGAACTGATTTCTGCTAATAGTCTCTAGATTTGAAAGCTTTGCATCTCAAATTAGGGTTATCTAGAATCCATTTGCTTTATTCTACCCCTGCCTAAATCAGTTGTCCTGCAGGACACTTCACAAAACTCTGTCCCTGGAAGGGCAGGCAGTGTTCAAGTCATGTTAACTGACAAAATATACACCTGTACAGAGCCATCCTTTATGAACATATATTTAAAAATCAAGTTTTGCATTTCAACTGATGAATCCTTTTAGTATTCCATGTAAAATAATGGCATGTTTTTTCCAAAACAGAAGTAAAAAAAAAAAAAATTAAAGCAATATATATTAAACAGCTATACAAAAAGTCATATATAGCATATTATATCATTCCTCTGACATCATTCTCCATGACAGAATAACTTTGCTTACTTGATCTGAAAAGCTCTATTGATTTATTTTATCATTTGTATAATACCTCCCATGTTTAAGTTCTTGTGCAAACTTGTTTTATGCTTTATGTCATGTGCCAGAAAATAATGTTGCAATAAAGTTAAGACAGAGAATGCATTGTGTCTGCAACAGAGCATAGATGGCCACTGGCCCTAGTGGAAGCTCCTTTCATCCATCCTATGCACAGCCTCTAAGTTTTTCCAATTAAAATTTTGTTTGTAAAAGAAGTTGCACAGTGGCATGGATTGCTACAACAATCCTGCTATCATCTTTTTTCAAGGCCTAATGTAACCACAGAGTATTTGGGGATTTTTCAAATCAATACATCATTATTCTCATGGGGCACAGAACACATCAATTTATAAATTTACTGTAACAAATAGCATTACTGAAAACGGCACCTTTAGGCATTGATGGCTCTTGTCATGATGAATAATACATGGAAAAAGACAACAAGAGAAATGAGATGTAGAAACAAAGATATTCATCAGTATATTCCCTGTTTATTTCTAGCTAAATATGAAGCTTGCAATCCAATAAGGATCTACAAGCTAAAACTGTTAAAAAAATCAGATATATTTCAGATGTTTAAAACCACTCAAAATCAGCAGCAAGCTCAGGATATTGTCTTCAAAATTAGGGATCATACTTTTGTGCAGCCATACAAAAACAATTTATTTACAGTGCTTAAATTCCAAATCGTGTAAAGATTATATCTAAGCTACACATCAGTATATACCAACTGAGTGTCCTTGAAGTTACACTACAGTGACTTAGATGTGACTAATCAAACTTACAGGAAAAATATAGGTTATGATTTAAAACATTCTGTCAGAATCATTATCTCTTGCAGTTTTCCTGACCCTGAACCACCACAGTATGTTTGAAAACACTGCAAATACTAAGCTGGAGATGAAGATTATATATTCCATCATACCACACAGACAAGTGAGGAAAAAAGGGTTATTTGAAAAGATTTTTCACACACAAACCCCCCAGTTGTAATTTCTACTGCTGGAGAAAAGTATCAGAAAATAAATTTAGGAGCAGATATTTACTGATTGAAATGAGTAAAATTCAACAGTACTATCTTACTCATCCCAGCTGATCCATTAATATGCTAATAACTAACTAGCATGTTAAAACCCTTTTATGAACTAAAATGTTCAACTTTTTTATCTTTGTGCTGGGTGTAACAAGGGTGGGAAATAGGACATTGACTTCATATTAACTGGAGCATCAATTTCTTGATTTCAAACACTGCATGACCTCCCATTTTAGAAACTGAAGATAATGATAGACAACACTCCTCTTCACATTCTCAGAGAAGACTGACATGGCTGAGAAAAATCTACAAATTGGACCAATACCACATTTTTATGTTTATCTTGTTCTAGCCAAGGAGAATGCACAAATACAGAAGTGCACACAGAGTCAATTCTTATAGCCATAAATATCTACTATACAGTGAAAAATTCTAAAATGGGATTCAGAGTACATTCACACAACAACTCAGTTTTTAATTCATAGGTAATATGCTGTAAACTATCCTAGATATCTTCAGGCTACTGGTAGATGTGACTGAATACTCTCACTGCTCCCTAACAGTTGCAGATCACACAGAAAAAAAAAAGAACAACTCACATAATACAAAAAATACAATTACTGTGTGGCATTAAGGCAAGAAATCCAGATTATTACCAGAAAAGAATGGCAGTTTGGAAAAAATTGTCAGCATAATTTTTGCATCATCAAGCTAAGAAAAGCTCTTCTCCAAAACACAAGTCAGGGCTTTCAGTTATATATTAGTAAAACTATTTTGGATTTCCCAAAGTTTGTAACCTTAGACATTAAGATTTTAAGTTATCTAAGTGAATATCAATCTCTTAAGAAATCACTTAATTAGACACCCTGATCATATTACCTGTCAATTTGTTTTCATCAAATATTGTAAGGCTTTTTTATGTCAAGTATTTCCCATCACTCTCACTTCAAATATACATCCTACAACTTTCAGTCATCGTTTGGATACACTTCCCAAAAAATTACTGAACAGATACTGTCGCATTCCTCTAGATGCACGAGGCAGCCAAGCAGGTTTCCATCAAGTATGAAGGAATTTTCAAGCAACTCAATAAATCAGTTTCTCTCAGCTAGAAATTGCTTATCTTGCTCACATCTACACAGCCAAGTTTAGTCACATACCACTTACAAGTTCCTCCCTTCACACAATGAATCTGACATGAAGACCTTATTTTGGGGATGAATCAAAATGGTTAGCTGAGCCAGTGTGACCAAAGTGTTTCACAAGATATATATATATATATATATATATATATATATATATATAAATATTTATATATATTCATTCATGGCCAGTAGAGGCAGAACACCTGCAGTTTTGCCCTGTACCTGTGTTAGGTTGTGGTGAAAGGCTTCACACTACTGTGACAACTGTCACAGTCCAGAAACACTCAATACTAAGGGAAGTTTCAATGAGACTGAAGCTTCCTACTGTCAGGCCCAACACCACAAATCACCCTGGCACTAAAGCAACTGAGATGTAAAATAGCCCTGGCACCTGCTTCACACTATTTTAATTCCAACAGTACTTGCCACACATGCAAGCTATTAAGGGAATTTCTACATAACCATATTATTATCATCTTGAAAGAATTTTAAAGAAATAGGTCAGAACATTAATTTTTGCTAGTATGGAACAAGGTCCATACATTATTTATATTTCAGAATGTGTTAATGCAATCCCAA